TCCATAACTACAGCCATTATTTCATATATATATATACATATGAAATATATTAAAGTAAAAGTCTTTTTTTCTTGCAGAATGGTATCATTTGTAAAAGTTTCACCAATTTTTAACAACAGAAAATAATAAATTTGTGATAATGAGCACATTTTTAGCTCATTTAACTGCCCCCAAGTGGCCAAAAATAAATAAATAAATCAATCACTGGAATGCAGCTTTGAACACTTTAAATATTTAACCTATTTGGAGTTACCGCAGTAAAGAAATGTCACCACAAGAGGGCACAATTATCAAAACCGCCTATTATTTAACATAAGGACAAAGCTGTAATCTTTGCATGTACACAGGGGTTGGGTGGAGGGAAAAAAACAAAAACCATTCCTGGTATGTGCCTCTAAAAGCTTTGTTTTCTCTTTGGTAGGTATTTCTCAACCGACATGCAAACTGTATTTTATACCGACTCGTCGAGAATGCTGCGTTCAGTGGAATCCACATTTCTCGGAGTATGTGTGGGAGGATTCTGGTTCAGCTTCCTCCTGCTCCTGTTTGACCCTTCAGGGTCAGGAGTTCTTGGAATTCCTGGGTGGAGACAGACTTCCTCAACACTTGTTCCTTCCATGCCGCCTAAGATTATAGGAAACTCGTCGCCGTTTGAAACCCAATTTGGGAATTAAAACCTTTAAAGGAGCAGTAAAAGTAATAGTTTAGTTCCACTGGTGTTTCCAGGCTCTTTTAAATGGGGCAACCAAAGTAGGACAGCGGCTTAAAAGAGGTGCTGCACTGTGACATTTATCAAACTTCAGGGTTTGTTTTTTTCGCCCAGTAAAGTGTGTCAGAGTTACTTTTCTTTCTCTAGTTGCAATGATTTATCATAAAACAAATACGTGGAACCGATGAGAATGTTGTTGTTTTGTATCTAAGCTTGCAAGGATAAGCAACATCTATCATATAAACATCATCCAGTGTTATATTAAGTTTTAAAAAATGATCTAAATGCACACAAACCTACATATTTTTATGTCTTCAACAAGTACAGTGCCTGACAGTTAAAGCATGTGGACAATTTGTAAACTTCGGAAAGCCAAAAGCATTACAAGGTCATGCCTGATGCAACTTTTCTGTTAACTTTGTACAGTTAAACCACTTTTGTGCTGCCTTTTATTTCCTCAAGACAGCTGAAACTATGCACCATGGTTGATTTCTCCCTGGTTGTATTCATCCAGTTCTAACCATTTTAAGTCGATTCCAATTTTATTAAACCAATAGGTGCACAAAAATAGCTGAAGTGTGTCTCCTATGTTGCTTAAAAATAGTCTTGCTAAAGTACCACAGTGCAAACTTTATTTTGTAGTATTCCTTTATGACCTTCTAAATGTGTAAATCTGTAACCGAGGGATCTCTGTTAATCAGTATCGGTCAAAACTCAACGCACAAGTATTCTCTCAAAACACCAGAGCTGCATTTTAATCATAATTCCTTCATTTTCAGTACGTCCTACTTGTTGTCCCCCTTTGTATAAATTAAACCTCTTTTGCCGCTCCAATGATCCAAGTGCCCTCAGGATCGATAAAGTTAATCTCATTTTATCTTAATGGATGGTGCGCTGCTGCTCAAAGCTCAAGTAATTACATCTGAGGCGTAATCTGAAATCAAACATCAACGATCCTCCTGAAGGCTCAGGCCAACAAAGCACACAGTGAAGACAATGGGAGCTTGCTTATGGAGCAAAATGGTGATTGTTGGGTAAATATTTTCTGAATTGACAACTTCATTATCCGTATTTTCAATACATACAAACAGGTGTTGTTAGGGCAGTTTTGTGTGACTGAGCAGCGTTTGGGGTTTTATTGTATATCCTGTTGTTTCCTGCTCGGAGGCGACTTTACGGTCTTTTATAATGAGGAAGAAAAAGGACTTTGCTCGCTGAAGTTGTGCGCAGGTCTTGTGATGCCGCTTGTGATCGTCGCAGGGAACAGACACTCACTGACAACTTAAAGGTAAAAAAAAACAAAAATCTACTCAAAATTTACTTCACCTATCCCAAAACCTTGCTTTCATGAAACTTAAGCTCTTATCTCTAAACTGAGCAGCTGCTGTTTAACCGCATGACATGAAATCATTCATTCTCATTCATTAAGGGCTGCGCATTATTGATGTCACGGGTTGCCATTCTCATGAGTTAGTGGGAAAAGGAAGATAAAATGCTCACTGGTGTGTTGAGATTATGGGGCAAATAAATCTTAAAACATACACAGAATATGGCATCCAGAGCCTCGACAACAGGGATAATGCCATTGATTATCCTTCATGTGTACAGGGTGGTGCAATTATTTGCAAACTGTGCTCTGCCGTGACGTGATCATGGAGTGGAAGAACAACCTGAGGCGCGTCCAGTCACTGAAGAGCATCCCCTCGTCAGATGACAAACCGGTCTGGACGGACGTAGGACTGCGGGACAAGGCGGTATCAGTGTCCCAGTTGGTGTCCAGGTAACAGAAACATCATCTTACTCGCTCTTTCTGCATCTATGACAACCAAACACACAGTTGTGCACACAGTGAGTTATTAAATCATTAATACAGTGTTTGTGCATGTAACAGGTATCAAACCACAGTGAAAGTGAGCACAGTCATTCAAACAACCGCTGCAGATGATGGTAAAGTAAAGCAAGTTGTAAAAGAGGTAACTTGTGACTTTACTATCAGGCTTTTTTTTTATGTGGTTGCATCATCATTGTAGCTGGATACAGTTTTTCCCCCTGTGTCCATCACTTTCAGATAAAACCATCCCTTGTAGAAAAACCAGAGTCTAACCTGGAGTCTCTGATTAAGAGAAATGACGAGAGAGAGCGGTCCAGAGCCAAAGCCAGCCTGACCCGCAGCGTGTCGATGGGCAGCCTTCAAACCGGCGCCCTGTCCATCGAGGCCCTGAAAGCTCGGTTTGAGTCCAAGGATGTGACGCAAAACAAAGCGAAGAGCGGTTTCAGGGCTGCGAACTTTACGTCACCGTCCGTGGCTGCTGTGCCAGTGATGAATGGAGAGGTCAAAGACGTAAAAAGCCCTGCAGAGAAAAAGACGAGACAAATAAGTGTTGACAGTATGGACGCAAAAGTGGATCACGTGACTCAAAAGGTAAATACGAACACTGTTCTGGCTAAAAGGTCCAATTTTAGGAGTTGTTCATTATTTTGTCCATCATGTTTGCACAAACAGAGCTAAGGCCACATGTAGATGTTTGCAAAAGTTTGGATGCCACTGGCCAAATTATTTCATTTAGTTGGTTTTTGAGGTGGAAAGAATTAAATGAAATGCCTGAAGGAGACATTAAAAATGAGCCTTTACAAAAATCAATACATCTAGTAATGCACTGTTCCTTTATTGTCATCAGTACTGAGCTTCCCCAACCATTAGCAGATATCTTTTGTGAAATCTTGATTTAGAAATTTTCTGCCACTTTTCCTTGCAGACCAGTTCTGTGACACTTTTATACCGTCTTGCATTTAAAGTTCACACCCACAGATTTCCCGTCATGTGCACGTCAGACGCCACTCCCACAGCTTAATCCTGTGTTTGTTCACGTGGTGGATCTTCAATTTAGTTTCACTTCCTTTACAGACTGTAAATCATCTACATCCAGACTTTGCTACCATTTTATGGAATTTATTGATTCCTTTATCTGTGCAGCGATTCCTGTCTTTTAAAGAAAATCTGTTAAGGTTTATATATATATAAAATGTTTAAGTATATGCATGTATAAATAACTTTTTTCAAATCTTCATCAAGTGATTCCAGATGACACTTTGCTTTTGTGATTTCGTCTAGATGATTCTTCCATATAGAAAATGTGTTTCACGTGCCTTGCAAGGTCTAATGAGACAATAATGTCCAGAAAATGAATGCATCAACAATTGATAACCATTTGCTGCAGGGGCTGTGCTTTCTTTTCACTTCCTCCAACTACAAAACATGTCACTCACCTATGTTTTCTTTACAAACAACTGTGCCGTCATATGAGAAGACATAGCAGTGACAGTTTAATGTTTCTTTCTGTAGGTGGTGAATCAGACCTGGACAGACAAGAGAAAAACAATAGGCGGTATTGATTTTGAAAAAATTGCAGCCTCTCAAGAAGGTGAGTACCAGACAGCACTATCCTACATCTAGATCGACAACCTTTATCAAAGTGCCAGCCTGAACACCACATTATCCCGGCCAACGCCCCAATAAAGCAATTAGATGCTTAGAGTGCAATTCTACATACTTGGCACGCTTTTGAAAGAGCGCCGCTTTATTGTTTAGTTATCAGTACAACTCGAGAAAATTACGATTAAAACTAATGATAAAAAGTCTAATCAGGTACTGCATGTGCCAATAATGAGAACATCTTCAAATTCATTCTAAGTGTACACTTTCAGGTCAAAGATCAGCTGATAGGACTAAAAACATTGCACTATAAACACTGTGAGAAACTGATTGCATCGCTCCCTCAGACAAGATGGTTTGGCTCTCTAAATGTATATGGTGTAGTGCAAATGTGCTTCACAATGCAACCTGGATAACAAATAAAAGTTTCCAAAAAAAGAAAAGCTGTTGTTTCAAGAAAGATGTTTTCCCTGTAATCGATACCTTTTTTTAAAAAAAAAAAAACATATGAATAGTTTGCATTTCATCCACTGTAATATTAAACAGGAAAACATGTTTAGCTTCTCAGTTCAGTGTCTGAATCACCATGCAAGAGCCCAAACTAGATACCGCCTCCCTGGTAAACATTCCCTGGAAAGCTGTCTTCGAGTCCAATGACTCAGGTCAAAGCTGTGGACGGTATGAATGAAAGGGGAAGATATATCTGCACGGTGACGGTGCAAAGCGCTGTGATTGACTCAACCTGGTGCGGGAATAGGAGGCCACTGCAGAGCGCGACGGAAATAGCCGGCGTGCTGCGAGTCCTGAATAAGTGCGGGAGGGTGAAAGGGTCAGCTGTCTCTAGGGCAGGAGTGACACAGAAAGCAGGAGCGACCGAGGGTGGCAGAAGTTCCGCTGCAGGACGCAAAGCTACAAAACAATTATACTGAAATATACACAGATCACACAGATTTGGAAGAAACTCAGAAGACAGGGAGGAAGGAAACTGGGAATTATTCACCTTCTGTGAGTAGAGATTTGGATTTTGACCAACAGGGGCTGCACATGCTCTTGAAAACTTGCCTTTAAATCCATAAAAGTTCATTTACAGAGTATACTGTTGAAACTAATATAGATAAATTGTAGTTTTTACTGCTTTTGCAGTGTAATTATACTTTTAAATATAAATTAACTAAAATGTCGCAGTCAGAATTCAACAAATTGCTTTTTTAAAAACTAAATCCCAGTGATTTTGATGTTTTCCTGATGCTGATAGACAACAGATTTATTGCTGTATCTGTCCTTCTCTACACAATTTTGTGATGTATCTCTGTTTACTTTCGCACTCCCATGCTTAGTCAACTGTGGCCGCGGTGGCTTGCCTGTCCTTTAACTCTCAGTGTGTTGTGTGCCAGTGGAGTCAGGTATCCGTCCTGCTCCGCCACAAGTGGTACATTTATAACTCAACCACATGACAGCTGTTAAATATCAGCTTAGAAAAGTGCTATTACTAGTGACCCCAAATTGGTACCTATTAAAACACTGTTTGGTGACATGGACACTGAACACAGAAGTCACCTGTGTGTAATTAAATGAGTCATTGTTTAAATTGTCTGTCTTCCCCGTCACGTGACGTTGATTACAGCTTTTATTTAGACGTGGATCTCAGACAGCTCTGATTAGGCCCTTTCTAAGTACTACACAGTGCAATTTATGTCATAACAAAATCCAACCCGTTGAAACCACTGTGTCTGATGTCTCTCCAGAGGAAAAGAGGAGGTCAGTTGCAGACTTCAGAGACAGCTCTTTCATCCAAACCAAGGAGATACTGTCTGTCTCGGTCAAAGCGATGTCTGCTCTCTATCTGTCAAAAGTGGCACCTCAGGAATCAACACACAGTCTGTTAAAACCGGTAAACATCTGTCTACTCATTATGTGTAAAGACTATGTTAGGAGTCTTGGTGCTGTGTGGAAATCACAGTTTAGTTCATATAGGAAAGATTGTTCTCAGGATAATAACATTTATTTCCTCCAGTATCATGAGAATTATGTCAGATATATTAGACCTTTATGTAAGGTATACTAACTAAATGTTTAAGGACAGAAAAAGTGAATTCTAAGATTATATTTACATCTGGAAGCTCAATTTTAATGAAATTTCAAACATGAAATGTTCCCACACTTCAGGATTTATTTAGAATAATAAAGAAAAGTGGTAAAATATACCTCTACTTATGCACATATACTGTAGTAGCATCGCTGCAGCTACACACTGCAGTTTATTATTTATGTATTTACTAATAAAGCAAATTACAGCAGCGAGACAACATTGCTTATGTAATGTTTACCCAACCTGAATTCATTTTTATTCCCATCCAGGAACAAGCCCAGTCACGTAAATCTGGGACAGGAGTAAAACTAGCAAAGGTAAAGCAAAACATCACCGGATATTTTGCATGATGATGTGGTTGGTACAACTCTTATGTGCACATTAGATTTGCATTGTCACAATAACGTAAACATTTTCCACAGTATCCACTTAACTTAAAAATCAAAACCATGATTGATTTTCCTGAGAGCTGCGCAGTTGACCTTTGGAAAAACAAAACAGATATTGAATGTCATTCACATTTTGTGGTCGGATTTGTGGTTTGCTGGTTGCTTTGGAGTTGAGCTAATCCACTCACACCTAGCATGTGAAAAACATCCCAACCGGCATGATCTGGATGGTAATATGTGGCTCTCATCCCTGTGAGTATGTTTGCCTACTCTGGAGCATGGTTTTCACTGGATGGCTAATCCCTGTTGAAATGGACATAACTGTAAGGGCATTACTTTGTTCTTCTAAGATGGCTGAAGACTCAACATCCCAACAAAGGAGAGATGACTTCCCTCCGCCTCCTTCTGCCGGACATCAACCAGGACAGGAAGACTTCTCTGTTGCACATTCTCAACCCACAGCATCCCAGTTTTCCAAAGAAAAGTTATACCAACAGCGGCAAAAATGCGAGCTGAGGAGGCTCCTGAAGCACACTCACCCAGAGCTGAAGATGCTAGATGATGTTGTGGATGAGGAGCTTGCTGAGGTTTTGAGCTCAGAAGGGTCGACAGCTGGTGAAACCGGATACGAGGGAGAGGTCTTGTCAAGACGCCTGATATTTGAGAACTGTGGCCGGAGTACCCAAGTATCTCCTTACAGCTCCAAGATGCACACGACAGAAGGAACGGTGGAAAGATGTGATTTCAGTAAAACGCCAGCTGTTTCTGAGGAGCCGAAGGAAGGGCCTCATGCCGAAAGTGCTAAAGAGATCACAGAGGATGACAAATCAGTTAGGCCAGATCTTACCAGAGAGTGTGAGGAGGAGATGATAAGAATAGATGTTCAGGCAACCAGAAGGATATTTGAGAGTCAGTCTGTGAACACATCCAGGCCAAATCCAGATAACAAGTTCCAGGGGAAAGTTCCTATTTCTGAGGATGAGACAAAGGCAGTTCAAAAACAGAAAAAGTTTGAAATGTGTAGCAAAGATAATCAAAACAGCAAATGTAAAGATTGGGAGGAACAACCTCATAAACAAGTGTCATGTACTCATGTTGTTGGTAAAAGCCTTGAACGTGACATTTCCAGGGAAGAGGTTTCCTCTGGTGAAGCAGTCTTTGACGACGAGTCTACAAGCTTTCCTGATTCAGAAAGATTCAGTGAAACGATAAAAACAAGCGCAGTTCTTTTGCGAAACAACCCATTTATCTCAACAAACATAGAAAGAGAGCATTCCCATGTGCATACGTCAAAAACTCAAACCCCAGCAAGAGACAGTGGGCCAGGTGAAGACTACCTCACAGCTAATGTGAAGAATAGAACCCATATGTTTGAATCGATGCCATTCAGCAAAATCAGGCATCAGAACAAGGATGAAATTGAGACAATGGTGGAGAACATCAAGGAAACATTGAATTTCCTCTACAGTGTTAAAGCCATACATTCAAGTGGCTCAATCATTGAGGTGAATGAGACGATGATTGCTAAAAAGGCTAAATTCACGCTGTCAGAGAGCGGGCCTGAGTTAAAATATGATGAGGTGGCACAAGGAGGCGCGCAAAACTTCATACTGCAGTTGCTGCCACGGGTAAACCTAAGACCTCAGATCACTTACCTTAAGGAGGATAGCAAAGGCTGTATGGAGGCCACGGTGGTGAATGTCCCTGTTCACCAGCATCAATTCAATACCAGCAAAGACACAGAGTTTAAAACTGCCAACGTGCTTCAGCTCATTGAGGATGTTCTCAATCAAGACAATTCTCTGAGGAAAGGAGTAATCATTCAAGAGGATGTAAACAACTGCGCTAATGTCATTGTTTATTCCCTTTACAATTACTCCGATGAGGAAGATGTGAAGAGATACAGCCCTCCACAAGGTGCAGAATCTGATGAATCAGAGGTATTGAGTGGTGACACGAACAAAGAAACAAGAAAAGGTGCTTCTGAATCAACCATAAGCAGCCGTCTGGAAACCTCTCAAGACCAAGGTTCAGTCAGGCCTGAAATCAAAATGAAGGGGAATGTAAAACTGTTTAAGAGTTGTATTGAAAAGGGAGATTTGGAGTATTTAAAAACCCTTCAGGCTGAACCAACTGTTCAAGAACAGGACACGGAGCTTCATCAGGAACAGAGGGCTGATCAAGAAGAGGAAAGTGCTTCAGAGTGGGTCCCGGTGGATATAAAGAAACTAAAACGCATGTTCTCTGGAGACCAAAGTCAAATTGAACCAAAGAAAAATGTCCCTAAAAATCCAACTCCATCTGCTTCCATTTGTCATGCATTTACAGGTCAAAATGATTCACCTGGAAATAGCCAGTCCTCTACAGAGTGCAGTTCTGGGGTAATCTCTAATGTGCAGGTAAACAATACGTTCAGGGAATGCGAGGGCCAAGCACAAGACGACGCATGTAACTTTGAAGTGCTACCGCAGGCGTCTCAGCTCCATTTTGACCCACAAGATGACGACAGCGTCCACCAAGCTGAATTAGTTGAAGTGATGGATGACAGTGACGAGATCTTTAACCTCCAAACAGCAATCAAGAGTCTTCAAGAGGCCACAATCGAGGCCAAATCACTGTATCACTCATCAGAGGAAAAACAAAAAATCCTTACCCCAGAATCTCCTGAGGAACCTCTTGTCTCAGTTGCAGCAGGTAATGTCAAAAACTCCAGAACAGAAGCAGAATTACCTCAAGAAACTGAGGACAGATCAGCCTCCAACTTCACCTCAGGACATAAATCAGACTGCCAACACAAAAGTATAGAGCGATGCCATGAAGACACTAATTCTGCCACAGTGCAAGCTACTGAGATGTGTGGCAAAGAGGGTCAAAAGGGGACAGAGGCGGTGCAGAAAGAAACTACTACGGTATCTGTGAACAGTTCAGAAACTGCACAGCAAGAGGACGAGGAAGTTGTTTTTGAGGGTAAACTTCAAGCAGCTTTGGAATCCTTGGGGAAATCCAACATCAACGTCACAAGAGGAGATTTTAAAGCTGCTATGATCTACAGAAACTCCTCCAAACCTCACCAAGAGAGAACGCAAAAGGTGGATGTGGTGTCTGTTCAAAAGCCCAATACTGAGGAGTCTGGTCCTGTGACTGAAGGTCAAGCAACCAACCAAGTACAGTTGAGGAAAGAGGAGACTGCAGCCAATGCGGAGCCTTTAAACCAGACAGGAACCCCAAATAAACCAGCTACAAGTGTTGTTTCAGAGAAAAGCAAAAGACCTGTTGGTCCTAAACCAGCCCTTCCACCTAAACCAGAACATTTAAAGGTGAAAGACAGAGATTATCAATCAGTCAACATAAAAACTCCAGAGGCGACCCAAACTAAAACAGTAAGACCCACAGAAGCAGCCAGTCAAGTTCATCTACCTTTGCCAAAAACATCAGTTTCATGCAACGATGAACAGAAGCAAGACCTGTTTAAAATTAACAGCGGCACATTCTTAATATCTGATTCAGGGGATTGTGAAAGAAATAAGTTATTAGGTGAAGTTGTTCAGATGTCTCAGGAAGCTGAAGCGAAGCATCAAGTCCAAGGTTCAATTGTAACCTCAGAACATGATGACAAAGATAAGCATATCATTAATAGACAACAGAATAATAAAGCCACAGGAGAGCAGAAAAGCCACCAGGATGTGCCAGCCAACGACAACATGAATGAAACTGACGACAAGCATGTAGACTTCCACGAAGCACGTCAGAAATTTGGAGGTAAAAAGACAACAAAGATGGCACCTGTAAAACCAAAAAGAGTCAAAATTGCCCAGCCTGATATCAAAAATCCACCTGGGGAAATTGTTTTTGCACATGCGGATCCAAAACCAGTACAAACTGTAACCGATCCTTCAGTTAACATCTGTGGACAAACAGCTGTGAGCAAAGACAAGCAGGAGAAAGAAATGAAGCCAGACAGCAAAGTCGAGATGAGGGCGAGAAAAGGACGAGCGGAAACAGAAGATGAGCGTCGACAGCGACTGTCAGTTCACATGGACGAGATCATGAGAGGGAACATGACGGCGGCCATGGAAATTTTTGACAACTTGCGAAAGCAGGAGGAACTGCAGAGCATTCTCAGTCGAGTGGAAGAAATCGAACAGGACACGAGTGATGTTGATGTGAGGTCTCTGAGGACAGTATTCGAGGACGTCCCTGACTGGGTTGTCACCTCTGACAACAAGAAACAAAAAAAGGATGAGGTAGAAAACAAAGACAAAACGTCTCCATTATTGAGAGAAAGCCCTGAAAGCAAGTCCTCTATGGCACACGTGTTTGGAGACCTTGAGCGAGCGAGTGAGGAAATCATAAATCTGAAAGAACAGACTTTAGCCAGACTTGTGGACATAGAGCAAACCATAAAGAAGGCACTTTTTTCGGTCTCAACACTGAAGTCAGATTCCGATATTGCTGGTCTATCGTGCCTGTTCAGAGAGTCCTTAGGGGCGGTGCAAGAATCTTCATCCTCTGGCAACATTAGCAAAATTAGCATCGGGTCAAGCAGAACGAAGGCACAGGAAAGCACTAAAATGCAAGGAAGCACGGTTAAGCCAGCGGGGCAACGCCTTGAAGTAGCCTCTGCAAAACAACGATCGAGCCCTCCCTCATCACCTGCTTTTATCTCCATCCAGTCAGCGGCCAGAAAGACGGATAAAAGAGGCGGATCGCCTCCAGAAACCTCCATCTGCCCGACATGCCAGGAGAGTCCAAAGCTGGAGGAGAAATTTCGGACAACAAAGATGCTGACGTGCAACAGCCCCGCGCAAAACAGAAGAAGAGCCCCGAGAAAAGGAGATCAAAAACAATCCACTTACAGCCCGCTTAACCCCCGTCGAGAGCTCAGCGTGCTCGAGGTGCAGACCGACCGGGAAGGTAACAGTGTCATAGAGACAAAAACAGTCACGGAGAATTACGAGAGGACTGATAACTTTGGGAACCGGTTTTACTCAACCAAAACCTCCACCGTTGTCACTCAGCCAGAAACCACAACAACATCCACGAGTCAGGCAGCGATCAGTCCAGCGGCATATCAGGTCACCATGTACCCGGAAGTTCAGCTGCCAATCAACCAGATCAGTACTTCAGTGCCTAAATAGCCAAATGCTTTTCATATTCTTTATGCAAACGTTATCATGTACATAACTTTATTTGCTAAGAAATTAATTAGGTTGGTTATTATTGCTTGTTTTTTAATTTATACAATCATCATTGGTGTTAGATTATCTTATATCCTGTATGTTTGGTTAATGATTTTTAGCTTACATCGGTGTTTGATTTGTATTTCAAAGTAAAATCACAGGTCGAGTTTTGATTTAACCCATTGTATTTGATATGAATGCTTACTGTCAAGAAATATTTTTGTTCCAGTGAAGTTCAGTCTCATTTTTTTCTTTCCCATCAGTTTGAACCCGCTTGTCGAGAGATGTGCTCAGCCTGTCAGAAGCCAGTTTATCAGATGGAAAAAATAGCTGCAGACAAATACATTTTTCACAAAACGTGCTTCTGCTGTAAACACTGCAAGAAAAAATTAAGGTGGGATATGAGAACATTCTAAAGAAAAATCACCTGCAGTATCAATAAATCACTGAATCTTAATGTGCAATCAAATTCTATCATTGCCCAAATGAATTGGTTACATCTGATTTTTACTGTGTATTGGCCTGAATATAAGATCGTCCTGATTATAGGACATTTATTGTAGCAAGTGTTAGAAAAATTACTTTCTGGAGAAGAAATGAGGCAATAAGATGACAGGCAAATACCTAACAGGTCATCAACATCAAAAACTAAAATAAATAACACAATAAACTTCAACCATTTTAGTTTTACTCTCAACTCGAACAGAATAATATAAATGTGATCTGCAGACATATGAAGAGGAATTACTGCTCTGGAAATGCTTCCTTCTCTTTTCTCCTGAAAAATATACCGTTACTGTGCAACAATACTTCATATTAAGCTTAAATCTTACCTGTTAAACTTACAAGTGTGCCTGAGTGGATTGAGTGTCCAGGCCTCTCTGTATTTCAGTCACAAATTTGTTAACTATCCTGAGAAAGCTCTTGGGGAAACGTCCTTTTGAAGTGCAGGAATATTTGTTCTGACTGCTGGCGTTTTCCACCTGCCAGCTTCCAACATAATATTTCTTCATAACTGCTTCAACAGATGATTCTGTTTCATCCCATTTTGCCACAAAGATGATTTTCCCACATAGTCTTGGCAGAGCTGGGAGCTCAATTCTTTAAGGTAGACAGGACATTTTTGCAGATTTCGGTGGTGTAGTACAAATGGACAGAAGAAATTTGCTAGTCAAGCAACATTAAGCCTCTAACTTGGTAAAAACATTGTCTTGTATTCAGGCCAGTAGCTAATGTAATGTTTCTCATGTGAATCCAAAACATTTCATTGATTCATTTATTGATTGCTTAATTGATTAAATGTAACAGAAGTGATTCTGTCCTCAGGTTATATCAAATGTGATATATGATATAAATCTTAAGATGTAATAATTCATACACTGGTCTATCTAATGATGTGTATGCCTAATGTGTTTAAACAGTTTTTCTTTAAAACTACAGTGGTGACTCGATATTCTGATCCTTTGCAATCTGAAAACCTTGCCATCCGACAGGTTTTTAGGAAAAACGAACGAAACACATGAAAAACAGTGTTAACATACCGACAGCCTTGGATTCCGACTCCGACGTGACATTTCATGTCACAAATAAGGATAACGGCGTATTATCTGACTTAACAATCCGACAGATTGGCTCCCTTCATACTGCAGGACTTAATGCTCAATTCAGATTTTTTTGAGAAATCCGATTTTTTTTTTTTTACGAGTTCGTTCACATTTTTAATTAAATGCAGCTGGTATGCAATCTTCTGTGTGAACTTCATACGACCCAAAAGTGTCCCGCATGCGCAGAAGAGGACACGACGAGGTCACACGCAGCGAGCGTGATCAGTGTTTACGGAAGTAAACACGGATGGTGGCGGCGGCAGCGGGGGGGTGGCGCTGCCGCCTTTGCCACCAATGGTGTCTCGACCGCTGCCTTGACAATCCGACAAACTTGCTATCAGACATAAAAGAAGGTTTACATTTCGTGTGGAATTATCGAGTCACGACTGTATTTCATGGTACTTTACACATTTTCCATGTTTTGATGAACTGCAAATAAAAACTTGCAAAATCACAGAAAAACCGTAATAATTCACAATATAAAACAAACAAACAAAAAAACAAAACAAAGCAAAACAGGCCACAAACTGTAAATTATGTCCACATTGATTATTTTATTTTATTTTATTTTTTTACAATGTGTGATTAAAAATGTACTTTTTTTCTGGATTGGAATCCGCCATAATCTATAATTATTTTACAGATTATTTGCAGGCTCTTAAACATATTGATGTTAAGGTTTAAGGTTATTTTCCAGATTTTGGCTGTTTTGATAAGTTACAGATTATTTGCGGTAAAATCACAGGTAAAATTTTGTTACTTAGATGTTGACTGTAAAAATGTAATCACAAATTTGCATTTTTACAAGTATTTTTCTTTTACAATGTGCGGCTGTAAAATTACACAATTTTCCTGGATTTAAAATGGCTAAAAATATCATTATTGATAGTTTTTGAACATTACAGTTCTATTTTTTTCTGGCAACTTGCTGCCCATTTTTTTTACACAGTGTTATTAGCTCTAGCTGTGGGTTTCCTACTATGACAACTTTTCAAAATGACAGAAAATGTGTGGGAACCAATCATCATGGTTATCAGACAGCTGCTATAACTACAAGAACATCCTGACTATCTTCAACCAAGCACGGCTCTAAACTTGACCTGTAACTTCTGCCCATTTGTAGCATGTACAGTTTCGCACCGTTAAATGGTGAATTCTACTGCATATTTCACTACCAACAACTGTTCAGACGAAAGGGAAACTATGATGAGGGCTTTGGACGCGAGCAACACAAGAACCGATGGCTTTTGAAGAGCACGGCCGATGTGATGCCTGACGAATCGGAGGCATGAACGTACAGCGTAAATGTGAGTAACAGCAGACAGGAACGAACTGATCTCTGTCGTGTTATTATGTTCGTATTCACAACTAACCATGATAGCGGCTTCCCTCCCTAAAGCTGTGTTCTTTTTCGATCTTCAACAGATGAGATGGTGACTTTGACAACACAGAAGAACCTCTTAAAGTTGTGTTCGAGGAACCACACAATGGTCAACACTGTCCAGCCTTTACAATGTGTTTACGTACTGATTAACAATGGATGATGACACAGAACTTAACTGCTATAACGATGACTTAATCAATTTTAAAAACTGGACATTGTATGCAAATGCTGACATACAATAATCTCCTTGACACTCAGTCATTTTTATTGAATGACATTTTTCTATTTTAGTTTAAATTTACTCCAACTGATTGCTGTAAAAACTGTAGTTTTCTTTTGTATACAATGTGAAATTCAAACAGAGATTGTAAATTTTGCTTGAACTGGGATAACAAAGATCAGAAGTCAGCTTGACGGTGTACAAGAGATTTCTGCAAGGTTTATTTTTTTTACAAAAATGGTAAAATGCAAAGGCGAAACACATTAAGATACTCTTTATGAATATAAAAAGAGGTCCATTCTCTCCGCATTCCCACATGTTCAGCAGTGTCTCCTGAATGAATGCTCACAAACTTTCATTACAGTTCTGCCTGCCATAATGATACTGTTTGTAGTTTTTCTAATCAATACTGTGCACCTGACATAAATGTTTGGTCGATTTCCGAGGAATTCATGAAAAAAAATTCTAATTTCATCAATTGTCAAAAATAAAATAAAATTTAAAAAAATAAAAAATCAGGATCACAAGTGTACAAAGAGCAAGAAATAAACCAAATACAACAAACCTAAACATCCAGTCTCCTTCAGTTCCCAGAGTTTTCTGATATTAAGTTGGCTCAACATGCAGCTGTTCCTCATTTAAAGGGTAGTGTGCCTTGCTATGGGTCCAATGATTATATCTGATCTTGCTAATTAATCTTTAAACCTTTACGATCCAAGCACAGTTTAATAGCAATCATTGCTAAGCTCCACCAACTGTAAAACTTCAAACAAAACAACAGACAGTGACACAGTGTGACTTATTTATGAAGCACTTTGAACAGCACGGTTCATACAAAAGCTACGTCATAATGCCGACAGACAAGAACATGTACAGAAACAAACATAAAGCACATGTTCAGCAGAATGCAGGCAAGTCAGACAGCAATAAACCTGAAATCAGACATGCCCTATTGGACCTATTCACTTGTACTGTTTATCTGTAAAAAAAAAAGTGGTTCGATCGAGGATCTACTAAACTTTCATGTAACCGTATCTTTCTACCAGTCATGCACGTATGTTTTTATGTGTTGTACGTTTGGAAAGTAACACCTTCAGATGCACTAAAAACCAGTCTTTGGCAAAAACAAAACAAAACTGTGACACAAAATCAAATATTCTCAAAATGATCACCGACTACAGTCAGCTTTTCTTTACAACTTTCATGCTTGCTAATAAGTAAGAAAAGAGAGAAATGACAAATGTTGGATTATGATGTGCAAATTATAGCTTGTGCTCTTCAATGACATGTTCAGCACGATTGCTGTCCCCCATTGGTCCATATGCTGGTTTTCTAAATTTAAAAACAAAAGAAGGAACACAGTTAAAGCTAAAGTTTGGTTATTACAAACCTACTACATGTATATTTCTATGCAGTTGTTACAGTCAGCTCACTTTAACTCAGTGTGGTCCTGAAGTTCCACATTGAGGGTTTCAGGCAGCAGCAAACAGAATCCACCAGCAGCAATGGGGATGATGCCATATATCAGCATGGGAATGGTGTAATGATAAACCTCCAGCAGCCGGATCAATGGAGCGAGGGTACCGGCAACACGAGCGCACATGGAGTTCAGACCGACACCATTCTGCCTGCAAGAATTCAATAATCAAGAATCACACAATGACTGAGAGGGTTTTGGCAACACTTTGCATATGTATTGCAGCTTATTTGGCATTACCTTAAAACAGTAGGGTACAATTCTGCTGCATAAACGTAGGCTGTGGTAAAAGAAGCAGAGGCAGAAAATTTTCCTACCACAGCGATGACTGTTACCACCACAGGAAGATCTGATTGGTAAAAAATGTTTAACACAAACATATAAGATAGAAAATTGTTAGAAAATTGGAACATTCACCTCTCCGTAATATTTTTTAAACTATAAAAATATGTTCAAGGTTTTCAAGATACCATTTGGAACAGCAAGGACCACAAGGCAAGCAACACCCCCAAAGAACAGGAAGCAGGCTTCACATATTCTCCTTCCAAAGTGTTGAATTAGAGTCAAACTGCAAATATTTGCGGGAATTTCAACAAGAGCAAAGATGAGCTGTGTGAGGTAGATATTTGTACCAAAACTACCAACATTCAGCGTCAGTCCATAGAACAGAAGACTCGCTGCAAACCTAAAATCAGAGGTGAAGACAGGCTTTTAGTTTCACTACTTCACCATGACTGTGACAAATGTTGACACTGTGGACATTAAAGACAATGACATGAACATCATCTCACCAGTTGAAGCCCATTATTAGAGTATATTTTCTCAGATACGGTATTTTGAAGATGTCAAACATGTTTCTTTTTTCAGGTGTACTCTCCATATTTATCTGAACAAGTAAAAAGCAACTTTTAGAAAATGGTCATACAATGAAGAGGTTTAATATATATGGAGTGAACCAAAGTGTGTTGGATGCTGATCACCTTGTCCAGCAAATCTTCTGGTAGTTCCCTCCCATTGATCCTGGCTGCTCGCTGGAGCTCCTTTCGTGCCTCCTCCTTCCTGCCATGTGTCAAGAGCCACCGAGCTGACTCTGGAAGAAACCTGTTGAATCACAATTTCCAAATAAGGAATGATGCAGTAGTTACAATCACAGTTTCTCTGGCAGTTTTTGGCATATAGTAGTTGAAGAACATCTGAAAAGGTCATGGTATTAGAGAGTTCTTACCAGTAATGGGCTATTAAAGGAATTACAAGTGGGCTGAACAGCACCAGCTGCAGGACTCTCCAGTTGTGGATCAAGTAAGCAGTGCCAGCTGTCAACATCTGTCCAAAGCTTGTCAAATTTATCATGACCACTGTGCAAAGAGCAGTCTTTGAAGGATCGCTCCATTCTACAGCTGTAAGACAGATGAGAATTTGTAGTACCTGACAGTCAAAAAAAACAAAACTTTGAACAAAAACCAACATCAGTAATCATAAATAATAAAGATAATGGAGTTACCCAACACTGAAGTGTTCATGACGATGACAATGCTTGAAGTCCCACAGATAAATTTGATAGCCATGTAAACATAGATGTTTGGTGAGAAAGCAGTGCTCACACCAAACATGAACAAGATGAATAACGAAAGCAGGATTGCAAATCGTCGACCAAACCTGTAAAAAGAAAAAAAGAAAGAAAAAAAGACAGTAGCATTACAATGAGATGCATGATGTTGCCAATACTTTCCATCTCATTCGTGGTTACCAATGTATGAAAATACTTCGCCCACATACAAACTAACATAATGCCGACTGGTACAATGATGGCTCACTGGAAGATGCAAACATAGAATAAAGTGCTTGTCATTGTCGGCCAGTTTTCACTAAATCAGAGAGAAACTGAACAAAATTTCAATACCGGTCTAAGTTTGTAATACTAGACCCACTGCTGGGACACTGCTTGGTATGAGGTTAATGATAATATGAATAGCGTCTTATTAAGGGAGGAAAATTACTGAACCTGGTGAAAGAAGAAGGGATGTATTACCTGTCAGAAATAGCCCCAAACACCAA